CTGGAGGAACTGGCGCCGCATGAGCGGCGTGGCGAGCTTGTGCAGCATGGTCGCGGGGGGGCGGCGACTACAACACCGCGATCACGTACGCGGGATCGGTGGCTGCCCGCTTTAGCGCGCTTGTTGAACTCGCTGCATCAGCGATCTCGGCCGGTGCTGCCGCCAACGTCGTAGACCGGACGCTGCCCAACCGCCGGCATGGCGCCGACGCCGTCGGACACCGTCGACACGGGGTCCATCGACCCGTTCAAGGACGACGCCTTCGACGACCAGTACGCCAACGACTCCATGTCGGACACGGACGACCACTTCGCCAACGTCGACGCGCTCCTCGCGCGCGAAAAGTCCAAGGGCCGCGAGCCGAGCTTCGCGTCGCGGGCGTCCAAGGCCGACAGCGCGGTGACGCTGGACCCGGCGCTCGCGTTCAAAGACGAGGCGAAGCCGGCGCCCGCGAAGCAGGAGTCCGTGCGCTTCAAGGACGAGCCCGAGCCGAGCGCCAAGGCCAAGGCCGCCGCGCGGCCCGCGACGGCGGCGGCGCCCGCGAAGGCGCCGGCGTCGCGGCCGAAGACGGCGCCGCCGACGGAGGCGGCGCGGCCGCGGGAGGCGCCGGCCGGCGGCGCGCGCGCGGACCCGGCGGCGGCGCCCGCGGCGGCGCCCGGGAGCCCCGGCGACGACGGCGGCTACGGCGGGGACGACTTCGAGGACCCGGCGAGCCCCGGCGGCTACTCCGACGGCGCCGACGCCTTCGAGGCCGAGGAGCCCGAGCCCGCGGACCCCCGGGAGGAGGCGCGGCGCAAGCGCGCGGCGAACGACGAGCCGGGGACGATCCGCGTCGGGTCCACCGTGTTGTCGGCGGCGCAGGCGAAGCTGCTCGGCGTCAAGGACGCCGAGGAGCTCATGCACCGGGCGGACAAGATGCTCCGCGCGAAGCAGGGCAAGCGCATCCAGAAGGAGACGATCCGCACGCTGGCCATGCCCCACCCGACGAAATTCACGCGAGAGCAGCTCGCTAGGGAGAAGCGCATCGCGCGCGCGGAGGCCAAGGAGGCGGAGAAGAAGGCCAGGGAGGCCGCGAAGAAGAAGCAGGCGGCGCCCGCGGGCCCGACGGCGGCGCGCGACTACGGCAACGCCTACTTCGACGTCGACAAGGCCGACCCGAAAGCGTGGATGCGGCGCGACGACGCGCGGAACTGCACGTTCCAGCCCAAGCCCCACTCGAAGCGCGCCGTCCGGACCATGGAGGAGTGCGGCTACGAGTTCGTCGGCCAGGAGGCGGGCAAGGACGGCGCCTTCGTGGACCGCCTCACGCGCGTCGAGCGCGCGCGGCGGAAGGCGCTCGACGCCGCGCGCGGCGCGGCCGAGTACAAGTACAAGGTCGGCAAGAAGGTCTGCCCGAGCTGCGGCGCCGTCCAGTCCTACGAGGAGACCCAGGACCGGAAGCGGGGCAAGAAGTGCCAGGAGTGCCACGTGGCCTACAGAGTCCCGCGGCCCACGGGCTCCAGGGGCGTCGACGCGTGGCTCGCGGAGCAGGCGGCGCAGCACGAGGAGCAGAAGGCGCGGGCGACGCGCGAGGCGTTGGAGCGGGCCGCCGCCGCGGACCGGCGGCGCGTCGGCGGCGCCGACAGCGTCGCGAAGGCGCGCGAGGACGCGTACCAGCGCGCGCTCCGCGCCAAGGTCGACGCGGAGGCCGGGCCCTTCATGGACCGGCTCAAGGACGACATCGACCGGCGGCGCAACGCCGCCCGGGCCCGCGAGTCCCTCGCCTTCTCCGCGGCCGACGCGGACTGCACCTTCAAGCCCGCGCTCGCCAAGGGCCGCGCGGCCGCGCTCGACCTCAGCGCGGCGAAGCGCGTCGCGGCCGCGTCGTCGCCCCGCGACGCGCCCGTCGTCGCCAAGTGGGAGGACGACCTCGAGGCCTACCTCAAGGCCGCGGCGGCGGCGCGCGCGAAGACGCTCTCGCGCGACGTCGACGCCGCGGGCCGCGCGGCGCGGCCGGGCCGCGAGAACGCGCGGCCCGGCGGCCGGCCCAAGTCCAAGACCGCGCCGGGCCGCCAGCAGCGCAAGCGCGACAAGAGCCCCGTCGACGCCGCGCCCGTCGACCTCGGCGCCTTCGAGGACCTCATCTAAGAGCCGCGCGCGCCTGCCAGTGCCTAACGCCCGCCTCTTACAGCGTGATCTTCATGATCCTCGGGTTGCGGCGGAGGCAGTCGCAGATGGCGACGGCGGCGGGCTCGAGCTTCGCCGCCGTGGCCGCGACGTCGTCGTCGATGCCCGAGCCCGTGAGGTCGAGGCGCGTGAGCGCGGCGTTCGTCGCGAGCGCGCGGCAGACGCCGACGACGAAGGCCGGGCCCTTGGCCGTGATGTCGTTGTCCCCGAGGTCGAGGGCCTCGAGCGTGGCGTTGTTTCGGAGCGCGTCCGCGAGGCTCGGCAGTGTTCTCAGTTCGTTGCCCGCGAGGCTCAGCGTCAGCAGCGTGTCGTTCGACGCGAGCGCCGCGGCGACGACGTCGCCGCCGTCGCTGCGCAGGTCGTTGCGCTTCAGCTTGAGGTGCTGGAGCGCCGACGCGTCGGAGGCGAGCATGGCCGCGCAGGCCTCGGCGGGCGCGACGGACCGGGATCGGTTCTTGCCGACGAACGCTAAACAGATCGCGCAGCGGCTGCAGTCGAGGACCTCGAGGTGCGCGTTCGTCGCCAGGGCCTGGAAGAGGGCGAGGGCGCCGTCGCTCTGGAGCTGCGTGCCGTCGAGTACTAGACGCCGCAACAGCGTCTTCGGCGACTTGAGCGCGGCCGCGAGCGCCTCGGACGCGAATCGTTCTAAATCGCCGTTGTCCGGCGCCTCGAGCGTCAGCAGCTCCTCCTGGTCCATGACGGCCCGGGCGATGAAGGCGCACTCCAGGGACGGCAGGCCGCCCGCGCGGTGCCCCAGGTCGAGCACGGGCACCCTGGGCCGCTCGTCGCCGGGCTCGGCCGCCGCGTAGTCGGACGCGCCGGTCCTCAGGTCGATGCCGTTGAACTCCTCGAGGATGGAGTGGCCCCCGAAGAGCGCCTCGGCTAAAACGTCGCCGCGGTCGTCGATGCCGCTCCGCCGCAGGTCGAGGCGCCGCAGCAGCGGACTGCCGTCGCGGAGGTACGCGGCGAACTCGTCCCTCCCCGAGCCGTCGTACGTGCCCTTGGCGTTGCCAGCGCGGTCGAACCAGAGGCCGCTGAGCCGGTTGTCCTTGAGGCTCAGGCTCTCGAGGTGGCGCGCCCGGGGCAGCGCGCCGGCGAGGCGCGCGAGGTGCGGCGCGCCGAGCTGGTTCCCGTCGAGTTTGAGGCACCGCACGTGCGCGGAGACGACCAGACGCGCTGCCAGAAAATCCATCTCGAAGACCTGGAAGCCGTCGCTCTGGTGCCGCCGGAAGTCGGCGACGCCGCCCCCGTCGACGTTCATGCCGTTGAGGGACGCGAGCCGCCGGGACCGCGCGACGGCGAAGGCGATCGCGCGGCCGCCCGCGCCGTCGGCGAACGGGTTGTCCCGGAGGTCCAGCGCCGTGACGCCGTCGGACGTCAGCGCCGCCGCGAGCGTCACGACCAAGCCCTCGCCGATGTCGTTGTCCCGCATGGCCAGCGACGCCAGGGCCGGGTTGTGCCGCAGGGCCTCGCCGATGGCCTCGACGCCGCGGCCGTCGTGGCCGTCGTCCGTGAGCTGGCACGAGTTCAGGCTCAGGTCGCCCAGGCAGCGGCAGCGCCGCAGGGCGACGCCGAGCGCGAAGGCGCCGGACGCGCAGACCGCGTTGCCGTCGAGGACCAATCTCCGCAGGCCCGGCCGCAGGTCGGCCTCGAGCGCGCCGGCGACGACCCACGCGTCCGCGGCGCCCAGCCGCGTCCGCGCGAGGTCGAGCTCGTTGGGCCCCTCGTCTTGGCCGAAGAGCAGCGTCTTCATGGGCAGCGGGTGGCCGGAGAGGCACACGGTCTCCAGGTCGCTCAGCGACGTCGACGTGAGCCGCGCGACGAGCGCGCCGTCGATCGCCGTGAACAATTTTTGCGACACGTCGACGCGCGCGGCGCCGCCCTTGAAGCGCTGCACGGGGAGCATGGCCTTGCCCACGCGGCACTCCTCGACCCGGTCGTTCGTCGTCAGGCACTCGCCGAGCGCCCGCCCGCCGAGCGGCGTGAACGCGTTGAGCCCGACGTCGAGGCTCGTGAGCGTCGCCTCGAGCGTGCCCACGACGGAGCAGATGAGCTCCATGGAGTCGTCGCTGAGGGCATTGTGCGACAGGCAGAGCGACTCGAGGCACCGGCAGACCTTGGCGGCGTTCGCCAGCGCCGGCAGGTCGTCGTCGGTGATGCTGCTGTGGCCGAGGTTCAGGCCCACGAGGGCGTTCTTCTCCGACAAAATCTGCGGCGGCAGCTCGAGCAGGCAGTCCTGCGAGTAGGACAGGTTCATCGTCGCATTCTCGATCAGGACGACGCTCTTGCGCCGGGGCGCCATGGCGATCTGCGCGGATCTAGGCGGGCTGCGTTGCTAGCATCGTTGGCGTTTGGTTTCTCGGAGTTAAACAAGGGTTCAAATTGCGGTATTTGATGCTTGCGAAGTCCGGAGCGGTCGCCGAGTTCGCAAGTGAGTTCGCTGCGCAGCGGCCGACACCGCCCGCCCCCGCCGCGGCGCGTCGTTTAAGTTCGTTACACAGGCGGGCCCGGGCGCCGGTCGGTGACACCACACGGTCGGCGCCTCGCGGGGCCGCGGTCACTTGGGGTTGATCTCCTTGTCCGTCTTCTGCGCGTTCTTGATGACCGTCTTCTTCTTGGACATGGACTGCTTCGCCTTGGGCGCGGCGCCGGCGGCGCCCGGCTTGCGGACCGTGGACCGTCGCGCGCGCTCGACGGTGATGTGGATCGACGCCTCGCGGGGGCACGAGTCGCTCAGCGCGCCGAGGAGCGTCGTCGACGCGCGGCGCTCGCCCGGCGGCGGCTCCTTCTTCTCCTCGGCCTTGTCCATGCCCTCGGTGAGCGACGCGATCTTGGCCTCGAGGGGGTTGTCGCCGAAGGAGCCGCGCGACATGCGGCGGAGCGCGCTCGACGCCTTGGGCTCGAAGTTCTCGTCCATGTCCGGGGACTCCTCCTCGTCGCTCTCGGAGACGTGGTCGTCGTCGTCCTGCTCCGTCTGGATGTCGTCGCGGGAGAGCTTGAGGAGCAGGAGGCGGTCCGTCGCGGCGACGACCGTCGCGGCGCGCTGCGCCGTGCCGTCCGTGTGGAGGCCGTTCTCGCCGAAGGAGGACCCCTTCTTGAGGCGCGCGACGCGGCGGCCCACGAGGCGCTCGGGGATGAGGATGTTCATGTTGTAGATGTCGTCGTCGTCCTCCTCGTCCGGCGGCTCGTCGCCGGCGTCGCCGCCGTCGCCGCCGGCGTCGCCGCCGTCGGGGTCCGGCGGCGCGACCTCCTCGAAGATGGGCTCGCCGTCGCCCGTCTCCATGGCCTCGGCCGCCGGCGCCGGGCAGGCGGCGGCGAGGGCCTCCTGCTCCGCGCGGAGCGCGGCCTCCTGCTCCGCCTCGAGCCGCGCGTAGTGCTCCGCGAGCAGGCGCTCGCGGTCCTTGGACTCCTTGGCCTTGATCTTCTCCTGCATGGCCTCGACGCGGCGGCTCATGCCCTTCTTCCAGACCTCGAGGTCCGCCTGGCCCCCCTTGCCGTTCTGGTAGACCTCCACCTCGCCGCTGTAGGTGATGTAGAACGCGTCGGCCGCGTCCTCCTGGAGCATGATGACGCGGTCCTTGTCGTACGTCGCGAGCGTGAGGTACTTGACGATGGTCATGCGGCTCTCCATGTCGAGGGGGCTCAGGAAGGGGTGCCAGCCGACGTGGTCGTCGATGAAGGCCACGTCCTGCTCCGTGCGGTCCTCGGGCGGGATCTTTAATTTCGTCACGAGCGTGAACGACACGCCCTGGAAGCCGCAGACGCCGGCCTGCGCGGGCTGCTGCGCCGCCTGGGTCATGACGTCGTGGCGGCAGAGCTCGAACAAGATCGTGTCCGCCTCCTCCTCGACGCTCAGCACCGTCGCGGACCGCTTCGCCTTGCCCGACGGGTCCATGCCGTTCTCGCCGAACGAGTTGCCCTGCTTGAGCACGCCGACGCGCGTGCCCACCTTGTCCGGCAGCAGCTCGAGGAGCTCGCCCTTGTCCCTCACCACGGGCTTCGCCATGAGCTTGTCGCGGCCCTTGCGCATCTCCTTGACCTTGGCCGGGTCCTGCCACAAATGCACGGACATGGAGCCCTGGTAGCAAATACAAAAACTCGCGGCCTCGTCGCCCTGGAGCACGATGACCTCGCCGAACTTGAAGAACTTGGCCCGCAGGTAGCGGAACATCTTGCGCCGCAGCATGGGCTTGATGTCCTTGAAGATGGGGTGCCACGCGCAGTGCTTCTCGATGAGCTTGAGGTGGTCGTCGGTCCGGTCGTCCGGCTCCGCCTTGAGCGCGTCGAGCAGGCCCTCGTCGACGGCGCCGAACTCGGACTTGAGCTTCTTGCCCTTGTCGAGCTTCATGGACTCGCCCTGCATCATGGCCTGGAGCCGCATGGCGCCCTCGGCGCTGTTGAGCCCGCCGGGCTCGTCGCCCGCGACGAGGCCCTCGAGCGCGCTCAGCGACTTCTCCGTGTTGCCGCCGACGTCGCGGAGCTCGCTGCTCTGGCCGCTCGCGAGCCGGTTGCTACTCGCCGCCACGCCCTTCTTGATCATCGACTTCTTCTTGCCGCCCTTGCTCAGCTTCACGACCGTCGACGCCCGCTTCGCCGCCCCGCCGGCCCGCGCCATGGAGCTCCGCGCCTTCTTGTCCGTGACGAGCGCCGGCTCGCTCTTCGAGCTCTCCATGACGCCGCCGCCTCCGCGGGGCTGCCGGAGAGCGCCACTGCCAGCGCCAAGCGCTCTCCCTGGCACGTCTTGGGCGGCGCTGCCACTATTCACAGTCTCAGCGACGGCCAAGTTGCCGTGCTCCATGGATACAGTTCACCCACTTCAACGTACAGCTCTCTACCTTGTACGTCATCGTCGGCCCACGGGTAGTAGCTCAGGCTGCTGGCGTTCGGAGCTGACTTGAGCTGAGGGGTTCCGGGGAGGACAAGTTAACCCGCGTTGTTCCAAGTCCTCAGGAACCGACGCGTTTGGACGCGTGGAACAGGCCCTCGAATTAAGTGCGAACATTTTTCTAAGAAATTTGCCCATTCGTCCCCGCCAGCACTCTGGAATTTTCCACCGCGCGTCGCCATCGGTAAGATTTTGCTTACTTGGACCACCAACCGCTTCCGACGGCGGGCGCCGTAAGCTCAGCGCGGCCGGTGAATTAAGTGTGAGGACCGCGGCTCGTAGCAAGAGCAAACGCTTTGGTTAATTTATTGAAGTAGTAATCGGAAACCTCATCGAAATCGTACAAAACTGCATCGTTTCGACCGACGGATAACGCTGCGATGATGTGATGCGCCGGCGCCGCGCCGCTTTGCGCCAGGTGGTGCACGAAAAGCGCGCGTGCTGCGCCGGGCAGCGACGACGGGGGTTCGTGAGCGCAAAAAATCCTGCTGGCGGCCTTCCGCGGCGAGACTGTCGATCACTGCGACTGCGGGGCGCGCCCCCACTCGATTTTTGCATCCCCGGGTTCATATAGCGTGACAGCTGGCATGGGGCGACTCATGACCTGTCTACGGTCGCCCTGCGACTGAATTAGGTTCGAAACTCCCCCGCGCGCGCGACGACGACGACGGCGGCGGCGGCGGCGGCGGCGGCGGCGGCGACGACGACGACGACGACCGACCGACCGACCGACTGGCCCAGAAAGTAGGTGCCAGGAATTAGCCCGGGACCCAGGGGAAGTCACCCGAGGTCCCCCCGAGTACGCCCCAGTCGGTTTGGTTTAAATTTTACCACCCCAGACCCCAAAGCCCGAGTTCACTCTCGGGCCCCACTCGGAACATCCGCGCGCGCACCGGCCGGTCATGCCCCCGCCCAGTGCGAACCCCGCCGCCCGCGCGCGCACAGGGAAAGTACCGAGGTGTGTATGGAAAACTGCGCCGCGGCGCGGGGGGCGCGCGGGCCGGCCGGCGGCCGGCCCGCGGAAAAACGGGGGGACCGGGGCTCACGCCTCGTCGGCGGTGCCGCCCTTGGCGCAGACGTAGATGTAGTGGACGGAGTTGGCGTCCTTGGTGTCCGGCACGGCCGTCGCGGAGACCGTCGGCTTGGGCACCGTGTGCGTCGTGACGACCCACGAGTAGTCCTCGTTCTCGAGGTACTGCATGCGGTTGTCCGGGACGCCGTAGGAGACGACGAAGAAGATGCCGTTGGGCTTGAGCACGCGGCTCACCTCCATGCACATCTTCGCGACGTTCGCCGTCGAGCCCTCGCCGCAGAGGATCGCGTCCATGACGCCCTTGGCGATGACGGCGTCGAAGGACTCGTCGGGGAACTCGAGGGAGCAGACGTTCATCTGCTGGAAGGAGAGCGCGGGCTTGTCCTTGTACTTCTCGCTCATCTGGTCGATGACCTGCGGGGCGCGCGCGTCGCGGGGGGGGGCGTCTCGCCTCGAGCGCCGGCCGCGCGCGACTCGAGAGATGTCGATGTTGCTCAGGTTCGCGTAGCCGTCCTCGAACATGTCCTCGGAGAGGCGCGAGTTGCCGCAGCCGGCCATGAGGATCGAGTCGTCCTTCTTGATGTACTTTTGCACGAGCTCCTGCGGGGGGGTTTCGCGCGGTCGCGCCGGCGCGGCCGCGGGCCGCCGAGCGAGGCGCCCTCGACGATGTCCGAAAACCCGCCGTCGCGCCGCGACGCGTTCCATCCCGGCGCCGCGCCGCGCCTGGATGCCCGAGTAGCGCTGGTACCAGTCAAAGGGCTCGGGATCCTTCGTGTAGCGCTCGTCCCAGTAGGAGGTCTTGCCTGCGGTGATGACCGGGTGCGCGGGCGCCGCGGAAAGGCGCGCGGGCGCGTCGGGGCGGATGGCGCGGGGCCGCGCCGTACTGAGCCATGGTCCTGCTTTAAATCTCTCTAGCGCGAGACGGCCAGCCAGCCAACTTTTTGCTGGTGATTTTACCTCGAGGCGGCGACTGTGGCCAAAGCTGACTGCTTCAGCGACCTTTGTGGCAATCATCAGAAATCGTGAGCATCGATCGCATGAGCGCGGCGTCTGGAGCTAATTGGGGCTCAAACGCGAGCGGGACGCGCGCGCGACCGACCCCGTCCGACGCGCGCCGACGCCGACGCGCGCGCAGGCGATCGTCTCGCTGCCATGGCGAAGCAGCTCGACATCATGATGCAGCGCGCCGGCGGCGTCGAAAACGAAACCCAGGGAGGCGCGCGCCGCGCCGCCGGGCGACCGGGCCGCTCGCCCGCGCCGCCGCGCGCCCGGGCCGCGCGCCCGCGCCGCCGCGACTCACCGCCGGGCCCCCAGGTACCCCAAGGACTGCGTCCCGAAGCCGCCGGACGACTGCCCGCTGATGAGCGGCGGCCAGATCAAGGAGTTCATGTCGACGATCAAGATCGACAACGACGCCATGACCGTGTCCGCGACGGACTGCTGCGGCCAGAACTACACGTTTTACACCGTCCCCTGCGCGGAGACGCACATGGACATCATCATGCCCAAAAAGTGACCCCCGCCGCCCGTCGCCCCGCGCGAGCCGTAATGCCCTCTTCGCGCGGGACACTCGCGCACGCGCGGCCGGCGACCAGCCCCCCGGCGCTGTAGTTCATGCGCCGGCGAGAAAGGAAAGTGGCCCCTTACGCGTCCCTCCCGCGCTCGAACCCTCGCCGCCACTCCGAAAATATGTTACGCCGCATTTTTGCGGGACACAGGGGCGTGGTTCACGCGGCCGGCGGCGCGGGCGGGTCGCTCGGCGGCGGCGCCGGGTCGCCGGGCCGCGGGCTCTCCGGCGGCTTCTCGGCGGCGGCCTCGGCCTCCTCCTGCTCCTCCGCGTCCTCGATCTCCTCCGCGAGCGAGCCGTAGGACACTTGGAACTTGATCTTGCCGCTGTGGTCCTCGACGTCGATGTCCCTTCGCGACCCGGACGAGCGCCGCAGGCCGCCGGGCTTGCCGAGCATCGGCGGCGGCTTCGCGGGGGCCACCTCGGCGGCCTCGCCGTTTTCCGCCGCCTCCTGCTCCTCCGCGTCCTCGATCTCCTCCGCGAGCGAGCCGTAGGAGACCTGGAACTTGACCTTGCCGCCGGCGTCGCCGACGTCGATGTCTCGGCGCGACCCGGACGAGCGCCGCAGGCGGCCGCCGCCGAGCTTCGGCGGGCCCGCCGGGGCCACGACGTCCCCGTCGTCGTCGTCGCACACGAGGAGCTGGTTCCGCGCGGCCTTGCCGCGCATGCGCGACTGGAGCACGATGGACGCTCGATGCGCGTCCTCGCCATCCTCGCCGGCGCCCGCGTCCGCCGACGATTGCGCCTCGTCCTCGGAGCCGCCGTTGAGCTTCTTCTGACTCCTCGGGCTCAAGGCCTTGGCCGCAGCGGCGCCGGTGCCGGCTGCGGACGACGCCTCCATCGACTCTCTCGCGCTAAGAAGAGAGCACAGCGACGGCAGCCCCGCCTTGGGATCTTGTGATGTATCAAAGCAGTCACTGTGACGGTTGTTGAACTTCCCGTAGAACTTTCGAGATTATGTTGAACTTCTCGCGCCCGGGTAGCGGTAGAGGGGGATGGCGTCGGCGCCGGCGGTCCGCTTGTCGTCGTGGGTCCAGCCGGGCACGGCGAACGTGTAGGCGACGACGGCGACGCCGCGGTCCCGCGCGGCCGCGAGCGTCGGCTCGATGGTCCGCAGGCCCGAGGGGACGAGGTAGACGAAGATCTTCGTCGCGTCCGCCAGGTCCGCCGCCAGCGCGTCGCCGCAGATCACCGTCGCGAGGTCGCCCGCGCCCGCGGCGTCGACGGCCGCGCGCGCCTTGTCGGCGAACTTGGCGTCGAGCTCGACGCCCACCGCGCGTGCGCCGCGCGCGGCCGCGGCGACGACGAGGCGGCCGTCGCCGCAGCCGAGGTCGTAGAGCACGTCGCCGGCGCCGACGCCGAGCATGTCGAGCGCGACGTCGACGGCCGACGGCGGCGTCGGGTTGAACGGCGCGAGCTCGTTCCGCGCCGCGCTCGGCGTCGGCTTCGCCGCGCGCGCGCGGTCCTTGCGCCCGCGCAGCAGCGACTGGAACGCCGTCGCGCGCCTCACGTCGCGCGCGAGCGTCGCGTCGATGACGCGCAGGCGCCGCGCGTCGAGCCAGTCCTCGCCGCCGGCGAGGCTGTCCCAGAGTTCACGCGCCGCCAGCGGCGTCAGCACGGCGGCGCTGCCCGCCGTTCCGACGAGCGACCCCTTGCTCGCGCACCAGGCGTCGAAGGACAGGCCCTCCTCGCTCAGCGCGGCCATGGCGGCGTGCGATCTGCGCGCGGCGGCGGCTGAGAGCTTTTTAGCCACAGCCAAAAACGTCAACTACGCATCAAGCAACCAAGTATCAAACCTCCAGGGCGCCGCGCTAGCTCACGGTGCGATGGGCCGGCCGGACCGCGCCGGCCGGCGCTGATCGACGCCGCCAGAAAAAAGGCCACAACACCAATAAAAAGATGGCGCCGCACGGCGGCCAGGCGCGGGACACGCCGCTGGCCCTGCGGCGGGTCAAGCGCCTGGGCAAGCGCCTGGGCCCCGAGCGCGCCGTGGGCCACCTCGCCCTGCGCTACGGCGCGCGCCAGGCGCTCCTGCGGGCCTTCAGCAACGCCAAGATCGAGGCCGTGAAGAAGGGCTACTCGCGGCCGACGCAGGCGGGCAACGCGGCGACGACGATCGCGCCGGCGCAGATCGCGCCCGAGGACCGCGCGGCGGTCTGGCGCTACCTGTCCGCGCAGACGCACCTCGCGGCGGAGTCGCGCTTCTGGCTCTGCCTCAACCCGCTGAGCCAGCTCGAGCTCTGCCGCCACGCCGTGCTCTGCCGCGTGCCGCGCGGCGACGCGGACGCGCTCGCGCCCGCGCGCGGCGGCCGCGCCGACGCGGTCTACGTCGTCCTCAACGGCGCGGCCACCGTGACGCCGGACCCGAACGCGGGCCTCGAGCTCGTGCCCGTGAGCGAGGACGTCGTCGAGGACGCGCGCGACGCGGACCGGGCCATGCTCGAGGGCGAGCTCACGCGGCCGCTGCCGTTGACGTCGGACACGCGGCCGTCCGCGCACGCCTTCGGGTCGCTGGCCGTGCCCGAGGACGTCGAGGTCGAGCTGCGGGACGCCTGCAGCGAGGCGAACATCCTGGCCGCGTTCCTGCGGCGCGAGCTCCGGCGCGCGGCCAAGTACGGCCTGGTGGAGGACCCGAGCGCGCCGAAGAAGAGCGAGACGCCGATAGAAAGCGCCGAGCCCGCCGAGGGCGCCTTCCTCACGGACGGTATGCCGCCGGACGGCGAGCTCGTCAACGTGCCGCCGCCGTCGAGCCCCGGCCGGGGCCGCGACGACGACGGGAGCGACGACGGCCGCGGCGCGGAGGAAAACACGTTCTTCAGCGGCGGCTCGGGCAACGCGCCCCGCATCCCGACGGCGCCGGTCTACGACGACGAGCAGCCCGCCCACGACCCCGAGGGCGCGTCGCTGGCCATGACGGCGTCCGAGGTGTCCTTCGAGGAGGCGGAGGCGCGGCGCCTCGCCGACGAGGCCGAGGAGCGCGAGCGGCTCCGGCAGGAGATGGACGAGGAGGACGCGCTCAACGACGACGACCGCGTCCTCGCCGAGGAGGTGCTCGCGCGCCTCGACGTCTTCGCGAAGAACGGCAAGCTGTCGCACGCGGAGATCAACGCGGCGCTCATCGGCAACCACAACTCGGACCTCTCGAAGTTCCTGCTCCGGACCTTCCACCAGCTCGACAAGAACCACGACGGCGAGCTCGATTTGGAGGAGCTCAAGGAGGCGACGCGGCGCTGGCGCAAGCTGCGGCGCGACAAGGAGCGCGAGGTCGAGCGCCAGGAGGCCGCGGCCAGGGCAGGACAAGAGAGCGAAATTCCCAACTTCAAAGGCTCCTTTCTCGGCCGTTTTCCACTCGTTTCGGCTGACTTTTGGACGAGCGATCATCTCTCGGAACGGTCTCGAAGCGTGGATATTTTTCTCGTGACGCGCGCGCGCGGAACACTCACGTTGAAGTGACGTTGAATCACCCTTGTGCTGCCCAGGCCGCCGCGCGCGCGGCGCGCGCGCCCGCGTACCACGACCTCGACTCCGTCACCTCGAAGCGGTCCAACGACGCCTACGTCTTCGGCGCCGACGGCGAGCGCAAGGACCGCAGCGCCGACGGCGTCTGCGTCGAGCGGCCGGACTGGACCTGGGGCCACGGCTTCACGGCGTCGTTCACGCCGGGGTCCGAGTACCTGTCGTTCAGCAGCCGCGCGGCGCAGAACCTCTGGAGGGAGACGCAGGCGCCGGCGGAGGCGCCGGGCAAGGCGGGCCACCTGACGCCGCGCGAGGTGCTGGCCCTGCGCGCGCGGGGGCTCGGCTTCCTGGCGCCGCACGCCGCGGTGCGCGAGTTCGAGGCCGGCGAGGTGCTCTGCGACGAGGGCGCGCAGCCCACGGAGGTCTATTTGACCATCAGCGGCGCCGTCGCCATCGAGCGGCGGCGCGAGCTCGACGACGACGACGACGAGGGCGTCGTCGCGGCCATGGCGTCGGGCTTGTTCCACGACACGGTCACGCTCGCGGTCGTGCCGTCGCCCGTGCTCGTCGGCGACGTGCCCTGCATCCTCGGCGGGTCCCAGCCCTGCAAGGTCACGGCCCTCGGCGAGGCGACGATCGCACCGGGCGTCAACGACGACGACTCGGGCGTCGACATCGCCGCGGGCGACTACGACGTCGCGACTGGGAAGAAGAAGGCGAGCGGCTTCGTGCGCGCGCTGGCCGTGCCCTGGCAGCTCTTCGTCCAGCTCCTCTCCGGGCGCCCCGCCGAGGCGCGGGCGCTGAGCGACTGCGCGACGGTGCGCATGGCCTGGCTCGACGAGCGCAAGGTCCACCGGTGCCGCGCGCGGCGGCTGCGGAACCGGGCCCTCAAGGACAAGGAGCGGCTGGAGAAGAAGCTGGGGCTCGCGCCGCCGGAGACGCCGGCGTCGCCGGGCGGCGACGCCGCGGCCGGGGACGCCGTCTCCGCCGTGAGCTTCGACGACGACCGGAAGCGCGACGACGCGTCCGCGTCCACGGGCCTCTCCGCGGAGTTCGGCCGGGGCCCGCGGGACATCCCCGAGGGCCGCTACTGGAAGCTCTGGACCTGCGGCGCCGTGCTCGCCCAGGGCGACGGCGAGACGCTGCGGCCCTGGATGGCCGAGCGGCTCAAGCCGCCCGGCGCGATGAACGCGCTCGGCGTGCCCCCGTCCTTCTACGCGGGCGCGGTCATGAACGGCGAGGAGCTGGATTTGGCCAACGCCGTGTCCATGTCCGCGGACCCGGACGAGGCCGAGGACGCGGCCGCGAAGGCGCGGAAGATCCGCATGGACGTGTCGCTGTCCGTGACGGGCGCGCTCGGTTCCTTCTCCGCGCCGGGCCTCTTCGACCAGCTCGAGGACGACGCCTTCGGCGCCGACGACGACCCGGAGACGGCGGCGAAGCGGCCCGGGGCGTCCTTCTCCAAGGACCTGCCGAAGCGGTTCCGCGAGGTGCTCGCCGCGGAGCGGGGGAAGCCGCTGCCGCCGGACCAGCTCGTGGAATTACGGCGCAAGGAGGGCATCGCGCCGCCGTCGCTCGTGGCGCTGCGGGCCGTCAAGGACGTGCCCCTGCTGCTGCCCTTCCCGACGGTGACGAAGGAGCGGAAGCTCCACGGCGCGGCGCTGCCCGTCGTCGCGCGGCTCCGGTTCCCGGAGTCGTCCGTCGACGACACGGTGCCGCCGCCGAACCCGACGCGGCTCCGGGATCTCGCCGCCGTCTACGTGGGCCGCAAGCGCGACTTCGTCGCCCCCGGCGTGCTCCGGGACCCGCGGCGCGCGGCGCGGCGCCACCGGAACTTGCTGGCGGCGCTGGGCCCGCCCGTGGCGGCGGCGGACCAGCGCTACGCCTTCGACTTCCCGAGCTTAGATCCCCGCGACGACGCGACGCACGTCCTCGCGGGCGCGCGCCACCCGCGGCCGCCGCGGTCCGTCGAGGACCGCGACCGCCGCGACATCCACGGCAAGGTGTCCCACGCGCTCAGGGCCATCGTCGCGCGGTCGCCGTCGGTCCACGCCGCGACGGCGCGCTACAGCGCCGACCTCGACGCCGCGCGCGAGCGCGACGAGGAGCGCGCGGCCGCGGGCGACGTCCGGGACGAGCCCTGGACGCCCGCGCCGCACCTGTTGCGCGACACGGACGCGGTCCTCGCCACGGGCGCCGAGGCCCTCGCGCGCCACGGCGACCGCCTCGGCATCACGACGCCCCTCTTCGCGAACCCGGACCTGCCCCTGACCTCCCTCGCGAGCCCGAGCTCGGGCGGCGCGGGCTCGTCGACCGTGTCCTTCGGCGCGCCGGGGCCGCGCCTCGACGAGACGCGGCCCCACAACGAGAACGTCATCCGCTTCCAGACGCCCGACGACGTCCGGTCGAAGCGCCTCTTCTCGCAGACGGCACTAACGTTGACGTTAACGGTGCATCGGTAACGTGGGCGGAAACTGTCGACGAGGGCGCTGTCGCGAGGTGAGGCTGCCCGCGGGCGCTCATGGGCCGCCTCGCGCGCGCCGACGGCAGCCCCGAGCCGGGCCGGTAGACCGGCCGCGTCGCCATGGAGGACCACGGCAGCGCGCTGGCGCGCATGGCCGCCCAGCAGGACAACAGCGGGCGGCTGCGGCCCGGCGACCGCCAGCGCGCGCGGATCGTCAAGGACGGGCGGAGCATCGAGAAGATCTCGGCGCGCATCGTCCACCGGCGCGCCTACCTCGAGAACGTGCTCGAGCACCCGGACCTCGTGCGGGGCGGCCTGCTGAGCGAGATGCTGAGCCCCGAGAGCGACATCGCTGGCACGCCGGCCATCGGCGAGCTCAAGTACGTGCAGACGCGCTACCTGCGCGAGGGCAACTACATCAAGCGCAAGGTCGGGCGGAAGAAGGAGCTCAAGTCCAAGTTCAAGAACGCCGCGCGCGCGGCGGCCTTCGGCTTCATCGCGGGCGGCGGCGGCAAGGCGAAGAAGATGCAGTTCGACGACGAGACGTTCGACCCGGCGCCCAAGGTCGAGGAGGTCGAGGTCTTCGAGGACGTGCCGGAGCTGACGTCGCGGGAGCGGGCCATGGTCTTCTTCAACCGCACGCAGCGCATGTCGACGCAGTCCACGGAGTCGCCCGCGATCCGCCTCCTCCTCGAGAAGCGGAAGGTCGACGAGGCGACGGCGACGACGCAGATGAAGAAGACGAACGACCACACGCGCATGGTCGGCCTCCAGAACCGGAAGAATTTGGACAAGATCGAGCGGGAGGTGCTCGCCCGCCTCGAGGCGAAGCACCACGGCCTCATCTTCGTCGCGGAGCGGAACCGGAAGGAGAAGGAGCGGCGCGACAAGTTCGCCGCTAGGCGCGACCGCATCAAGGAGATCGAGCGCAAGGACGCCGAGATGAAGACGAGGGAGCGGCTCCTGCGCCAGGAGAAATTAAGACGGCTCACGAAGCCGTTCCACGCGGCCGCGCGGCGCGCGTCGCGGGTCGCGCACGACGGCGCGCGGCGCGCGTCGCAGCTCGGCGGCGCGCGGCGGGACGTCGCGCCGGGCTCCGGCGTGCCGCTCATCGCGGGGCTCAAGGAGAAGAAGAAGGGCTTCCGCCTCGGCGACGTGTCGCCCTCGAAGCTCGTCAAGGCCGCGTCGCGGGGATTCTTCGCGTCGACGTCGAACCTCTTCGCCGAGCCCGAGTCGCCGAAGACGCCGACGACGCCCAAGTCGCCGCTGTCGCCCCTCTTCCAGAGCGCGGGCTCCGTCAAGAATTTGCTGAGAGGCTTCCGGCGGGAGACGGCCGTCACGCCCGAGTCGCAATCCGGGTCGCGGCCCCCGTCGCCGATGCCGGAGCCGCCGGCGGACGCGGCGGGCGCCGTCGGCGCGGCGCTCGCGTCCCTCGAGGGGTCCTTCGAGGCGACCGCGGCGTTCAACGACGACGGGTCGCTCACGGCGGTGCGCGACGACGACTCGACGGTGCGGACGCGGCCCTTCGACGACGGCTCGCTCAGCGGCGGGTCCCTCGCGTCCGAGGGGTCGGGCCCGTCGCACGGCGCCTACCGCGACGACGCGTCGCTCACGTCCGAGGTCTCGGCGCTGCGCACGGGCCTCGACGACGGCTCGCTCGCGGGGTCGCTCGAGGGCAGCTCCCTCGTGGGCGCCTTCAACGACGGCGGGTCCCTCGTGGGGTCCCTCGACGACGACGGCTCCCTCGCGTCCATGCCGCCGCTCGGCGGCGGGGAGTGGGACGACGGCTCCGTCCACGTCGAGGACTACGACGACGGCTAGTAAGCTTATATGGGGGGTTCCGCGGGCCGCCTAGAGCTGGCCCGAGTCGGCGACCATGACGGGCTTCGACGTCTTGCCGCTCGACGAGCCGACGGCCTCGATGGCCTTGACGATCTCCATGCCCTTGGTCACGGAGCCGAAGACGACGTGCTTGCCGTCGAGCCAGTCGGTCTTGACCGTGCAGAGGAAGAACTGGGACCCGTTCGTGTTCGGCCCGGCGTTGGCCATGGAGAGGATGCCCGGGCCCGTGTGCTTGAGCTTGAAGTTCTCGTCCGCGAACTTGGCGCCGTAGATCGACTCGCCGCCCGTGCCGTTGCCCTTGGTGAAGTCGCCGCCCTGGCACATGAACTCCGTGATGACGCGGTGGAACGACGAGCCCTTGAAGTGGAGCGGCTTGCCCGACGGGCCCGTGCCCTTCTCGCCCGTGCAGAGCGCGCGGAAGTTCTCCGCCGTCTTGGGCACGACGTCGGCGCGCAGCGTCATCTCGATGCGACCGACGTCGGCGCCGCCGATGGCCATGTCGAAGTACACCACGGGGTTGGCCATCGTGCTTGCGACTCTCGCGGAATTCGGCGCGGCGAGGTGGGCTCGTTGGCTGATTCGGATGGCAGGCGCGCGCGGGCAGCCTCGGGATACGAACCGCATCGTGCAGTCGCAGGCCGACGTCGCACCGAGGCCATCGAGCAAGCAGCTCCGCCCGGTGGGTCGAAAGACAAATCGAGGCGACTGCCAGGCTACTGCCCTCGCACAGGGGGCTCGGGACACGATGGACGACAACCTGACCAACTTCATGGCCATCACCGGGGCCGACGCGAACGCGGCCCAGTTCTACGTCGAGGCCGCCGGCGGAAATGTCGAGCTCGCCGTGGCCAACTTCTTCGACGGCGGCGGCGGCGGCGGCGGGGGCTTCGGCGGCGGCGGCTTCGGCGGCGGCGGCGGGTCCGGCGCCGTCGGCGGCGGCTTCGACGCCATGGTCGACGACGTCGACGCGGCGACGAGCCGCGACGCGGAGATGGCCGCGGCGCTCGCGGCCCAGGACCGCGCGCGCGCGGCCGAGGAGGACGAGGTGCGCGCGCCGGACCGCGTGAAGCAGCAGCGGCTCCTCGGCGACTACGGCGCGGACGACGACGACGCGCCGCGGCCGCCGCGCGCGGCGGGCGCGTTCGACGACTTCCGCGGCGTCGACGACGACGACGGCGGCGCCGCGGCCGCGCCGTCGTCCCTGGCGACCATGTTCAGCCCGCCGACGCGCCTCATGCACCCCGGCGACTTCCAGGCCGCGCGGGCCCAGGGCAAGGCCGAGCTCAAGTGGCTCCTCGTCGTCATCACGAACGAGCAGGTCTTCGGCTGCCACCAGATGAACCGCGACGTCTGGGCCGACGAGACGGTGCAGGCCGTCGTCGAGGCGTCCTTCGTCCTCTGGCTCCGGCCCCACACGGACCCCGCGGCCGTCACGTACGCGGACCGCTACGACAAGGACCGCGCGATCCCCTCGGTCCTCGAGCCGCCCGGCGCGGCGG